GTGAAAATTACACGCATGTAGCGTGTAATTTTTTTATATAAATTATTTATATAAATAAATACTAGTTAAATTTAAAATTTAAACTCTTAGGTTTAGAGGTTATACCAATCAAGTTTGAAAATTTTGTATTGTTAATTTTTCCATTGAAAATTGAAACTTAATTATATGTACTTAAATTCATATTCATAAATTAACTACTAGCATGTCTACAAGGGTACGAAACAAAATCTCATCACAGTGAGTCAATAGGGACCATATAGTATGAAAAGAACTGGCGCCGCAGGCGAGTCGGCTAATGAATAGACACGCCCACCGTTGGGCTACTGTGCTGTAGAAGAAACATAATTCAGAATCCCGATATTATTACGTCTTGGAATGTAATGAAAATCAAATGGCTGTAATTTATTGCCACTGCCTATATCATCTCTTTGATGAAATTTATTTACTGGGTACTCGATAATTACTGCGTGATAAACCGTTATATGTACATCTGTCATTTTAAAGTGATTTTAATTTTTTTAATGGATAATAAATTGAACGGTAACCCCGCCGGCACTATCAGTATATGCTAGCGGGGCACCAGTGAAGGATGATAGGTGAGGATAAAAGTCAATCGGCCCTCAGTTTTTTTTTATGCAACTTAGAATGGCAAACAAATTGACGGTCCACCTGTTGGAAAGTGGTAACCGTCGCCTATAGACATTAGCAGTACCATGGGCATAACAGAGTATACTGTGTCGCCCATGATAATCCCGCGTTGCCATTCCTGAGGACTCAGGTGTTATTTCTCTGTACCCTGTAAATTCATTGCCATATCCTTACCCTTCAAACTGAAATACAGCCATACAAACACAACTGCTGCACAGTAGAAACACGAATTGAACAGAGGTGCCTAAGCAAACTTTTATACAAAAGTTTCCCTCTGGTGAACTGACGTATTTATTCAACTTTATTTAAAACAGTGAGTTACGGAATTCCTTAACTAAGTATCATAAATGTCTCATAATTGTCGAGCTTGTATCTAGGGATCTTATTAAATTATATACATTTTTAATTCTTCTAGATTAACCTCGATGGTTTCCAGCAACCACGTGAAGACAAGGAATACTGCTGCTATTACTAACAATTCTTTCTCCCCCCAAGGGATTTTAGTTAGATATTTATTTGTATAATGAAAGTATAGGAATCACATATATATTGTTACGTATGATACGTCCTTACTCATTAGAAAAAAAGTTAATTTTTCCAAATATTAATAAAAAAAAAACTTCAAAACAAGATAATCATCTTGCGAAGGTAAATGATGTAAGCTGTAATCTAACAGAGTTATTTACCAGCAAATGTTTTAAAAAAGTATTAACTTGCAAGGTCTTAATTTATTCTTTATCAAAACATTGACAGCTTTAATCTATCCGAAGCTTCTGTACGCCCATTCAAATATTGATATCGAATGATAAAACGTTCTATTATCGAAGTTCAATCGTACGCCGACATAGAACAGTAAAACTAATTTATATACAAAAATGACTTTTACTTTTTATTTCCTCTCCCGACTGCATCTTATTTGCATATTGATACGGTAGCTACCGTATGATGCAGTTCGGAACATAACAGACAGACGTTTAAATTTAATAAGTATTCGTTGGAAAGATAGAGGATAAAACCTAATTTACACGGTATGCTAGCGGCGACTGTTTCTTTATTTTTCTTTTTTTGAATATGATACTCATAAATAGTTATCAAAAATCGATTTAGTTTCATTCTATTTATATTAATATACGATTTTTTTAAACCCTCCATTGAAGACAGTCTACCTACGTGTAAAATGAACCTGTTGTCTAAGTAAATTCAATTTTTATAATTCTACTAAACTATGAGTTTTTTTCAATAAGATCTTTATCATCAATAGGTTTGGTTTTATTCCAACAATTGTGTATTAAAGTAGGTATTTTTTAATAAAGCCTGCAATAAAGGGTTCTATTGCAGTCTTTATTAAAAAAAAAAGTAAATAAAAAACAAACTTAAATTTCTAAGTAATTCTAAGAAATCCGATTTTTCATTTTTCTATCAAGCCATACCTATATTTTTCTTGTAATCCTACGTTTAATCAATGTTTTTGGTTGTAGAAAATAATTATATTCACGCTAAGTCCTTTTGGAGCGTGCAGAGAGTACCAAAAAACTACTACAATTAAAACTACTAGGTACAGTTACTTACTACATATATAAACTAACTTTTATTTCTTTTATACCACTAAGGCGATAGGCAAGCATACGACCTACCTGATAATAAGCGGTTACCGCAGCTTATGAGTGCCTGCAATACCAGAAGCATTACGCACGCGTTGTCGACCTTGAAGAAACCTACTTACTTACCCCTTTATCGAACTTCAAAAAGAAAAATGTTCTCAATTCAAAGTTGTACTTTTTTTACGTTCGTTACCTCATAACTCCGTCAGTTATAAACCGATTTGGAAAATTCTTTTTTTACTGATTGAATATACTTACAGATTTGCCCCAAAGAAATTTTATCAAAATTTATTTATTTATTTATTTACACTTTATTGTACCAATTAAAAATAATAATTACATAAGTAAATTTAAAGAGATGTGAAAAAAATTTAAAATCGGTTCAATACTTAAGTTTTTAGATCTAAACAATTGGTTTTAACAAAAAAATCAATTCTTTCTTGTAGGACTCAATTTTTAATAACTGAAAAATCCCATGCTGTAGTCTCTTGGAAAAACCTCGACAGGGAGTTAATTTTATAAACGCATTATTTCGTGCAATACATCGATTCAATCAGTATCTTAGCGAATCGATTCTCCATTGTCGATATCCCATTACATTATGGAGATATGAATGCAAAAGTGAACGTATGCGACACTGACCTTGCACGATCATTTACATAGTTGTTCGGCGTGGGCGGTCGGCTTTCGACGCAAATTTTACTCGATTTTTGTGCTTCATTCAACTTAAATTAGAATATTAACTTAATAACAATATGCAATCGTTCAACATATTCATATGTCGTTGTATTAGTATTTGAAATCTATTAATATAAGTAATATATAAAACATGATACGATATATAGCAGGGATGGCCAACTTGACTAGACCCAAGATCTACTGTTTACTGACGAAACCCTGTGCGATCTACCGATTACATACTTCTTGAAATCTCAAACGAAACAAAATAATTCAGTACAAAATTATTACTACATAATTGTGTAGTATTTTTTTTATTTTATTAAGAGGGAAAACATAAAATTAACCTTTCCGTTTTTTTTGCTTTTGGAAAGGAAACCCTAAAAATAAATAATCAATTCTTCGAGACAACATTTTATTGTTAATTAAATAAAATAGATAGGAAACCTTTAAATTCAGGGGGGAAAGGGATTGTTAGTAATGGAGACTGAGAATCCCATTGCTAGCAATATACTCAACCAGGTCGACCTCCTCGCGGTTCCCCCTGGAAACTATCATGGTTAATTCCTGATGAATTCATCATGATGGGCTAACTGGCCTGTTTTCATTCTCATCGATCACCCTTCACTGGTGCCCCGCCAGCATATCCCGTCACCATACCATTTTCACCCATAAAAAAAAAAACCTTTAAATTCAGTTCGCAGATTTAGCACCAGATGGTGCTGCGTAATATAAACAAAAAATAAAAGTATATGGCTCTACTATACTTACATCGTCATAGTCGTAGAACACTGACGGATATATATGTAATATTTGTCAGATCCGTCAGTATTCTACGACTATGACGATATCTCGACTGCTGCCGCGTCAGCAGTGAATACTTCCCTCATTATCGTATCTAAACTTTTAATTGAAATTAATAATGCATAAATAATTTAAAAAGATTTTAAGAACTGTCAGCATATGTCATGTTAATAGTATGAAAATGAATTCATTTAATACGTATTTTGTTTCGAATTATTTTATCTATTAGGTAATGCTACCTACTTTTATATAAGACTTTTATATCTTCTTAGAGACCAGAGGGAGACTTTTTACAAAAGTCGATTGCTTGGGTACCTCTGTCCCATTCATGTTTCTACCGTAAAGCAGTTGTGTTTCGGTTTGAACAATAGGATATGACAGTGAATTTACAGGGTACAGAGAAATAACCTTAATCCTTAGGAATGGTAACGCATGGGTATCATGGGCGAAACAGTATACTCTGTTATGTCCATGGTACTGCTCATGTTTATAGGCGTCGGTTACCACTTTCCATCAGATGGGCCGTCAGCTTGTTTGCCATTCTAAGTTGTATAAAAAAACTTTGATATCTTCGTAGAATAAAAGTTCTTAATTTTTTTTTTTTATTATTTTTGAATCTACAGGGATTATTGTTTATTTTTGTCACGATGAAGGTAGTTGTTTCCTTTTAGACACTAAAATCTAAAATTATTGTATTTCCATATATAATTAATTTAATTGACATGGGATCAACATTAGAATAATTTCTGTAGATTGCAAAAGGAATCACTGAAATCAGTTCAAAAATCGGCTATTCCATTTTGAAATGTTTATACAAAAACTACGTATCCATTAAGAAGTGTATGATTTTGATAATACTGTTTAAACAATTTAAATTTATTTTTGTAAAAATTAACATGAATTATCTTTCACATTAGTCTGTTTTCTTGTAGAATATTTTTTTATGTAACTTAGAATGGCAAATACGCTGACGGCTCACCTGATGGAAGTAGTGTCCGTCGCCTATAGACATAATATTAATGAGATCTTCATATGATATTCTAGATTACAAATGTCGATGTTGGTAGGTTGCACTAACTGCTTACCATCAGGCATATCGTATGCTGGTAATCATCTTATAAAGCGTCCTATTTACATCATAAAAACTACAATTGGAACTTAGACTAACTCTTGTGCCTAATGACCTAGCTTGAAGTTGGCAACAAACCGGCGATTGACTCAATAAAGGGAAATCACACAATTCACAATTCAGGATCGATTCTAATCACGTAACACCCAATGCCAAGAAATCATCGCGTCAGTAGGACATTGTTGCGACACAAGGCATCAACGACCAGTATATATTGTCCAGATATATTGTCAATCATGAGTCTTGTCCTATCCACGGGAACAATACAGTCAAGCAAAATGTTCAAGATTGTAAGTAACATTTGTACTATCTACCTGAATGGCAAACGAGCTAACGTGATGTGATAATCCTCTCCTATAAACATAATGAATGTCACAGATTTTATTTTATTTTGTGTGGTGAAAATGGTACAGCAACTTTTTCTATTCCTTCATCATTCATTCCATTCATCAGTGAATTAGGTGAAGATGATATCAGGTCAATTGGCCCATTGTAATAAAATAAACTTGTTTAGATTCCACAGTTTGACGACTTCGTGCATTGCATGCATTACATGCAAGTTCTGGATTGGATTCTCGATTGGACCAAAATTAGTAAATGAGTTTTTCCAAATTGTCTCGTGTCAATTAAAAAAAAAAAAACTAAAAATTGTCTCTAAAATTTTAAAGTACTAGGCTGTGCCCCGATGATCGTTTACTGGTTTCTTATAACACGAACTATCCTACATAGCCCCAGAGCTACGTAATTGGTGTGATTGTTGGAGTAAAACAATATGCGTTACCTTCAATACATATTTTATTTTACAAATAGATGTGTGTGTGTGTGTGAGTGTGTCTTTTTGTGTGTTGCTGTGTGTGTATGTAATACTCATGGTAGAATTTTATTTCCAGATCGGAGTTCTCTCTGCTCTTGTGGCCATCTGTGCCGCGAAACCATCAGGTGCAATAGTCAGTGCGCCATTAGTCGCAGCTGCTCCTGCACCCATTGTGACCGCAACCAGCTTCCAATACTACCACCGCATTAACAACGGCCTGGCCGCCTACGTCGCACCTTCTGCCGCATATGTTGCACCGTCTGCCGCATATGTTGCACCGTCTGCCGCATATGTTGCTCCATCGGCCGCGTATGTTGCCCCATCGGCCGCGTATGTTGCTCCATCGGCCGCGTATGTTGCTCCATCCGCTCCGTATGTTGCTCCATCCGCCGCGTATGTTGCTCCATCCGCCGCTTATGTTGCTCCATCCGCTGCATATGTTGCTCAGCCAGCTGCAGCAGCTCTAGCCGCTCCGTACGCTGCTGCTCCAGCTCCCATCGTTGCCGCTTAACCTGGATAATCTTATGCTCTCTGAATACACATGAAAGTTATTACAACAGTATAATGTTTTATTACAAAAGTCTTCTCAGATTTTCTTACAAATGGTGTGCAAATATTTATTACAAATTGACTACTTGAAGTCTAGTATAATTTTTGTATAACTCTACAAGACTATCCGGTTAAATATTATCGTTTATTTCTGCTAAAAATGTTGTGGAAGAGTCATCCACATAAGTAACTATATCACAGTATTTCTGCTCCTAAGTAACTACATATACCTGTAGCGTTTTATTTACCATATATGGTAATAATATACTTAATATAATCTAATAGCATATAAGCTGGTGAAATGTAGTTCATGCATAAGGTAAAATAACTCAGCCATCATTTATAACTGATTGCTATGTCATGTCATTACATACCTATGCAGTGTTTATTGACATTGATGAAATAACACAAATACTTATTTGGTATCGTGTGCACATTTTACCGACTTCACCGTGGGAAGATGTATGATATTTAATGTCTGATTGAGCCGTTTAATCGCCGCGTGTTCGGTTAATTACATATTTTTGAGCAATTACCTTTTTTTATGGAATTTCCTTTGTACTGAAATTTGAATTGGAAAAATCTCGAAGCGAGTGAATGAGTTGCACTTATAATAATTATTTCGATGTTCTGTTGATTTTATGGACAGTTCAAGATCTTGAGATCCTGGATTAGCAAGCTACTATGGCAAGCCTATTATAGCTTGTAGAACTAATAGTAGATAGTTTTCAAGAAGTGCCAGGCAAACATAGTGCAAGATCTTTATTTATGATACTTAAACTAGATGTTTATAAAATAAATAAAAAAAAATATGTAAAATATTGCAGGTTTAGGTTTAGTATTTATATACTAAGTATATATTTATATATAAGTAGTAAAATGTAGTTATCTACAAGCTGCCCGGATTTGTCTATGTTTTAGTACCAATGTACAGCAGGCATAACTAGGGGTTTTTTAACATGTGGGGCAAACGAGCATGCGGCTGATGGTAAGTGATTACCGCCGCTCACAGGTATTTATAATATCAGAAAGAATACAGGTGTGTTGCTAGCCTTTAAAAAAGGAAAATGCTATTTTTTTGAAGATTACAATGTTGTATCTCGGAAGTACTTATTCTGGGATTTTATTCTATAGTTTGGACTAGGCGAAGCCATGATAAGAGTACAATTAAGAGTTGAAGTAATGATGATGAAATATTTGTAAATGGATATCTAATACAATGGTCTAATAAGGAACGTGAATGACGACACTTTGTAATCCAGTTACGAATAGAAAATTCAGTCAATCGCTTGAGAATTTATATAAATATACTGACCTAATTAAAAGTCGAGAAATTCTTAAAAGCTTCAGAGTGGGTTTAATGGATCTCCCAAAATTAAAACTTATGACGCACACGAGTATTCGTCGATGTTTAGTAAATCTGTTGCCGTGTCGAGGGATAGGACACGCTGCTGCCCATCCTTCGACCATTAAGTTTCTTAATTGCCTCTTACGACGTCCATGGCAAAGGATGGGGTGGTCTATTCTATGCTAGAACTATACGGCCATGATTCTCCAGTGATGAAAATTGTCAGTAACAAGCCTAATTAAAAAACAAAAAAAAAACAATAAATAGATTAATATCTATGTAAGGCTAGATTTGCCCCCTGCCACCTTATATCGGCTACCACTTTCCACCAGATGGTCCGTCAGCTTGTTTGCCATTCTAAGTTGTATAAAAAATAAAATATTCTAATGTCAAATGGTATGTTCATCATAAAATCAATAATCGGCAAATATGTCTAACTACCTTATTAGAGTTTTTCAGTACGACTACCGTTCAGTTAACATATTGTAAGAATCGCTCAACACTATTATTTCAAAAGGTGAAGTTTAGAGTTGCCATTCCAATCTTTAACTAAGTGAATTCTGAAATTGAATCCTTTTGTGTTTGAATTGTGGTGTGACTTGAAATATTTATGGTAGTTTTTATGGTTTTTTCAATCAAATCTATTAATACGTAAAAACAAAATACCCACGAAAGGTGGTTACTGCAAGTGTCTTATGATAACGCGTAAGCGACGCGTTCTCCACGGCGCTTACGACGTTCTTCTCGCGGTTTCGCTGAGTTTGTGATATACTTTGCAACCTGGTACTGATTTATTGTTAAGGCTCCAAAATAACACGAAATTCTTTGAAATTGTTAATACGCCGATTAATTGATAATAACCTTGAAGCAATAACACCGATACTTTTTTTTTTTTTTTTTTTTTACTAAATTTATTGAATAACACTTTTTACATTATGCCCTTGGTTTCGAATATATGGGGTTGCTGTAGTGGTGAATCGTCAAATAAAGATGAAAAATTTATCAATTGTAATGGATGTAAAAGGTCATACCATTTTCTTTGTTTGTCAATTGATGAAATCGGAAAGGATTCGAGGATTTTTCGAATATGGAAGTGCCCGGGATGTTTGAACCAGACTCCGAAATCCTTGAGAAGCGATTCGACTCCCGTGTGTAATTCGTCCACGCCTCGAGTAAGTAAAAGACCTGCACTGAACTCACCATCTCCTATTGGAATGTCCGCCACTAAAGAGGATATGCGTTCTATTATACAAGAAGTTATAAAGGAGGAATTCAGTGCTATGATAGAACGCATCAATACTTCTATGATAAACACCATCATCGAACATATGGAACCTATAAAAAGGGAAATAAGCGACATTGTCCACTCTATAGATCTAATTAATAAAAGATTTGAAGAAATTGAGTGTGAACAATCGACTTTAAATAGAATCGTAAAAGATGTGCAAGAAGAAAATACCATATTAAGAAGTACAGTCTCAGATTTGAACCAGCGTTTTAATTTGATAGAGCAGCAGTCTCGTGCTAATAATTTGGAGATACAGTGCATGCCTGAAAACAAACATGAAAATATCTACACAATTGTTAAACAGCTGGGTGAGGTAGTTGGATGTGAAGTAAACGAGACTGACATTGTGCATTGCTCTCGAATCGCCAAAATTAAATCCGCTAGTGATAGACCTAGGTCAATTGTAATCCAGCTTGCTTCTCCAAGAATTCGCGACCGGTTGTTGGCAGCTGTTATCAAATTTAATAAATCCAACCCTCAGAACAGGTTAAATAGTACACATTTCGGATTTAAGACCAAAAAATCGCCGATTTATATTGTAGAGCATTTGTCTCCATCCAACAAGGCACTACATGCAGCTACGCGACATAAAGCGAAAGAAAAGGGATATAAATATGTTTGGGTTAGAGGTGGCAGAATATTCGTACGGAAAAACGAGGAAGCTGGTTATGTTTTTATAAGAAATTTGGATACACTTGAAATACTTTAATTTTCTTGTTTATATATCTATTTATAACATTTACTTATTACTGCATGTTTAGTTATGTCTACCAAATTTAACAATTTACATATATACTACCAAAACTGCCGTGGCTTGAGAACGAAAACTCATATTTTCTCGAGCAACGTTAGTGGTAATGATTACGATATAGTAATTCTTTCAGAAACATGGCTTAATGATACTGTATTGAGCGGAGAGCTATTCGATGACAGATACGTAGTGTATCGAAGGGACAGGGAAAGTTCGATGTATCGGGGTAAGGAGGGTGGCGGTGTTCTAATTGCTATAAAGAAACCCATTAAATCAAAACGCATTAGTACTTGGGAAAGTTGTCTTGAAGATCTCTGGGTAACTATTGATATACCTGCTACGTGTCGTTTTCGTCGAATGGTTTTCTGTGCTGTATACCTTCCTCCTCCAGTCAGCAGGTCTGCTATGGAGTTATTTGTTAATAATTGTAATGCTACTTTTGAACAGATTACTAATTCAGAAATATGTGTCGTGGGAGACTTTAATATGGGTAACATTGACTGGAGGACCGTTTTCTCTACTCATGATACCACTCAAAATAATGGATCCAGCACACGTGAAATTTTGATAGATTTTACATGTGTAAATTTATTACAGCAGCACAATTATGTTACTAACCCTGCTGGTCGTACCCTTGATCTCGTTTTCTCAACCCTTCAAACTTTTACGGTTAATGAAAGTACTAGTGTTCTATGTGTTGTTGATCAGCTTCACCCTCCTCTTGATATTAATGTTGTAATGGGTGGTGATTTAAAACTGCCATATAATACCGATGCAAAGAGACTAAATTATTACAAGGCTAACTATGACATAATTCGGGAACAGTTAAAATCAATAAATTGGGATGAACTGTTTGGAGTTGAGGATACTGTAAATGAAATGGTTGATGTATTTTATGAGATTTTAAATTCAACTATAACAAATTGTGTACCTTTACGCAAATATAAGAATAATAGGTTTCCACCATGGTTTAACCGTAATCTGATAAAAATGTTAAAAGAAAAAAACAAATTGAGAGAACGTTATAATAAATATAAAAATCCTTTAGACGCGATAGAGTTAAAAATTGTGGCAAAACGAAGCGAAAAATTAATTAAATATTGTTATCGTAATTACACACAGAATATAGAGAGTAATCTAACCAGTAATCCAAAATTATTTTGGACTTATGTTAAGGCTAAGCGTGGCGGATCCAGTATATATCCAGCCAATATGACGGATGGTTCTTATACTACATCTGATCCAGGGCAAATATGCGAGTTGTTCGCTTCTTATTTCTCCTCCGTGTATGATTTAGATGATATAAATGAACACAAACATAATTCCAGCTTCTTGTACAATTTAGAAACCAATAGTCAATGCATGATACTTCCAACCATTGAATATGATATCTTACTTAAAAAGTTATTGAACATTGACTGCAACAAGGGAATGGGACCAGATGAAATACCACCCTTATTTATCAAAGAATGCGCACGCGAGTTAGTGTACCCACTTATGTTGATTTATAGTAAATCTCTTACTACAGGAGTTTTCCCTACAAAATGGAAGATGGCAAAAGTAGTTCCAATACATAAATCGGGAGAGGATGACGCGGTAGGCAACTATCGGCCAATTTCCATTCTATCTTGGTTTGGTAAAATTTTCGAATCAATTATTTGCACTCATCTGCAGAATCATCTTGCCTTATATCTGAGTAATTGTCAACATGGTTTTACTGGTTCGCGGTCTACAAGTACAAACTTGGCATCGTTCACTGAACTCCTAATAGGAGCAATTGATGCTGGAGAGCAGATTGATGTTATATACACAGACTTTTGCAAAGCTTTCGATAAGGTCTCTCACAAAATTATTATTTATAAACTGCGCGCCTATGGTATTACAGGATCTTTATTAGATTGGATGGCTTCATATTTAATGGAAAGGACTTTCTTTGTAGTAGTAAATGGGTTTCAATCGGCATCTTGTAAAATTACATCTGGAGTACCCCAGGGATCTCACCTGGGACCGATTCTTTTTAATCTTTTTGTAAATGATATCCTTGAGTGTTTTCTTTTCTCACAAGTATTTATGTACGCAGACGACTTAAAATTTGCTAGAATTATTAAATCCTATAACGATGTTACGCTCCTACAAAGTGATCTTGATAGGCTTATTAGTTGGTGTGATATCAATAACATGAATTTGAACCCTAAAAAATGTCGTATAATAAAATTTAGTAGAAAGCATAATTTAATATATTCACAATACCGAATCAAAAATGAAATAATTGAAGAGAGTAGAAGTATGCGTGATCTAGGTGTATTATACGACCAACAATTAACGTTTGTTCCTCACCTAAATAACATTATTAATAAAGCTTCAAGGATGCTTGGTTTTGTTATAAGAACCTGTAAAGTATTTCATAATAGTAACATTAAAATTATACTTTATAATAGCCTGGTGCGGAGTGTCTTGGAGTATTGCAGCGTGGTCTGGCGCCCACATTTTGCTACACATATATTGCGTATGGAACGTATCCAGAAGCGATTCCTATGGCACTTGGCATTTTCCACTGGCATTGCCAAAAAAATTAAATCCTACAAGGCCAGGCTGCAGTACTTTAGGATGATCTCATTAGAAAAACGCAGGAAAGTCTCTGACGCCATATTTATGTATAAACTTATAACATATAAATTACATTGTCCTCAGTTATTAAGCCTTGTAAAATTGCGAGTCCCTTCTAGATTACCTCGTGGACCTATAACTCCGCTAATACCTCCATTTAGAAGAACTATTCTGGGTAGTAATTCTCCAATGGTAAGGTTCTGTAAGATTATAAATAGCTGCAGTGACCAGGTCGATATTAATTTTGATACTCCAATTGTTTTTGTACGAAATATCTATAAATATATAAAATGAGTCGTGCTGCTGGATCTGCTTATGGATATGGTGGCTTTAGTTGTTAGTTGTTAAGTATTTAATAATAGTTGTAAGCTATATATATTTCTCTGTACTTATTGTTATACATGTATTAATATATGCTGTGTTTGCCTATAAAAAATTGTTACACTTAGTTCTAAGCTCCATAATTGTATATATATTTACATTATTTTGTGGAAACAATTGTTGGTAAACCTAAATAAATAAATAAATAAATAGAGATATATATGATGATATCTCTAATAAGAGATGACGAGGGAGATTTTGTACAAAAGTCCTTTGCTTGGGCACTTCTGTCCCATTCGTGTTTCTACCGTGAAGCAGTTGTATTTCCATGGCTATATTTCGGTTTGAAGAGTGGGATTTGGCAGTGAATTTACAGGGTACAAAAGAATAACACCTAAGTCCTCAGGAATGGCAAGGCATTGGGAGTATCATGGGTGAAACAGTATACTCTGTTATGTCCATGGTACTGCTCATGTCTATAGGCGACAGTTACCACTTTGCATCAGGTGGGCGTCAGCTTATTTGCTATTATAAGTGGCATAAAAGAAAATCATGAGTCTTTTTTTAGATTCAGTCATCGACTGTCGAATAACATGATTTTTATATTAAAAGAGGTTATTTAATAAATCAAGTACCGATAAAGCCACGCAATCAACTCAAGAATCTTAAGAATTCGACATCGTAAAAGGCATTACTGGTTTACTTTAATTATTGCGCATAAGGAACCAAATTCCAATGTTATATTCCTTGAATGCAACTGGTTGGCCTCTTGAGAAATGCACGTGAGATGTGATATTTAGAACATGCATGCCCATTTCACGTAGCAGTCATTATGATTATCATACCTAGGTGGAAAGGGTGGACACGAATGCGAAATTTACTAATTCCATTAATGAAAATTAATAACTTTTTTCAATGAGAATTAAAGCAAGTTATTCATTTTTAACATTAAAAATAATAAATTCTTCATTGCGCACGAAAGAAATGTATACAAGGAGTATTTATACAGAATGTGCATATACAAAAGGCGGCCTTATCGCTAAAAGCAATCTCTTACAGACAACTTGGTTTATATGAAAAAAACATATATTTATTACATTTTTAATCTATATGAAAAACGAAAATATTTATTTATTTAACACTTTATTGCACCATATACCTATAACTTAAAATTGCAAAATATTATAACTTCAAAATTAAAAAAAAAAAACAACATAAGAAAAATTTCATAAACAAGAACGTCTCACTTTCATTTTGAAGTCAATTAGGAATTAAAAATTTTGCTTACAATTTATTAACTAACTTATACTCGCGACTTCGTTCGCGTAACCGAAATATGTTTACTGACCGGATTATAAGTTGCCTATATCTTTTTCCATCCCATATAGTACTTGTATATGTATATTAAATTTCATAATGATTGGTTAAGCTATTAAGGCGCTATAAGGTAATAGACAAACTCATTTTTACATTTATAATATTGTAAGAATAACATTTTTTTTTCAAATTCGTTTCCTTACGTTATCTCTTATAAACTTGTACTAGCATAGATAAATAATGTTGACATTAATTGGATCCCAACCTTCTAATAAGATTCGTCAGATTATGTTTTATGCTCAAGTTTAATATGGAACCGTCTGGAATAGTCAGGGCTGGTGAACTAATAAATTAGGTTAGGTATATTATTTATTTGACTATATTATCCGAAATTATCATAAAAGCATGAAATCCAATAAATATGCGGGACAAGTGAGCATGTTTATAACCGCGTCCTATGTTAGGTTTCCTTCGGGAAGACGCTATGAATTATTGAAATGCATAGCAGATTTAGAGTATAGGGTTGGCAACTTTGTGTGGTAAAATATACTATTTTTTTTTTAATAATTATATTATAATGTCATTCAATCACACAAATTGTCTTCTATAATGATACTAAGTTATTCTATATATCTAAATACCAATCAACGAATACCTAAATGCATATTCCTGTATACCCAGATCCAAGAAATATTCCCAGGAACATTGGTATTATACGAAATACAGTAGTGTTCCTCCTAAAGAAGTAATTAATAACCCTAATGACATGGACTGACATCCCGGCGTAGAACAGGCTACCCCTTCCTTTGGACTACCAGTGGGAGTCATACAGGCGACTAAGGTAGCTTATGGTGCAGAGATAAGGCAGCAGCGCACCTTTTAAAACAACACCATAAGCCAAACTGCGGTTGCTAACCCGTCTGCCAAACGTAGCAATTACTGGCAAAACCTCCCCTTATGAGGGAAGCTATGTTCAACAGTAGATAGTTAACGGTTGATACAATACAGTAAAATAAAGTGTGAAAATATTATATATTATAAAAACACTGTTTCAAGTTCGTTTTATAACTTTGCGGTCAGGTTGTGAAAAGAAATGTATTTATTTATTTTACACTTAATTGCACTATTTATAAAATAGTAAATACATTTAACTGTATTGAGAAATGATACAAAAGTCGGCCTTATCGCAAAGCGATCTCTCTCAGACAACCTTTGGGTAGAGGACGTTGTAATAAGAAAAAAAAGGCAAAGGATAGGTGGGGCACTATTAT